AGCCGTCATTGTTGTTTGGCGGGTCCGGGCTGGGGATTCGAACCCACCACCTTAGGTGTACGTGGCTGGCGCCTTAGCCAGTTGAGCTATAGGCGCTGAGCCGGAACTCTGAATTTTTATGCGGTCTTCCACTGAGCCACATGGTCCCTTACATATTATACATGAGAATTCTTTCCTTTCTATTGGTTGCATCCCCAGCTGGGAATTTGTCTGAATCTCAGTTAGAGTAACATTGTTTTCCATACTGTTTTCCTTCTGTAATCATTTGTGATTTCTTTTTTCTTTTTTTGAGACATGGTTTTACTTTGTTGCCCAAGCCAGTCTTCTGCTTTAGCCTCCTGAGTAGGTGGTACACGCTACCCACCCTGGCTAATTGGTTTTTTTTGGTGGGGTGAGATCCGGGCCTTGCTATGTTGCCCAGGCTTGTCTCAAACTTCTGGTCTCAAGAGATCCTCCCTTAGCCTCCCAAAGTGCTGAGATTATGGGCATGAGCTATCATGCCCAGCCTGTGATATCAGTGTTACAGTACAAACATGCTATCTTTAATTTTTTTTTTTTTTGAGACAAAGTCTCATTTTGTCACCCTTGGAAGAGTGCCATGGCATCATAGCTCATAACAACCTCAAACTCTTGGGCTCAAGTGATACTCTTGCCTCAAACTCCTAGTTCAAGCAATCCACCCGCCTCAGCCTCCTAGAGCTTTATTTGTTATTAATTGTACATTTTCCCAATCAAGCAACTATCAATTTTTATTCTTTCCTTTCCCAGAACCATTCAATAAAAAATCATGATATGGCTTGGCGCCTATAGCACAGTGGTTATGGTACTGGCCACATACACCGAGGCTGGTTGGATCGAACCCGGCCCAAACCAGCTAAACAATGACAACTGCAACAAAAAAATAGTCAAGTATTGTGGTAGGAGCCTGTAGTCCCAGCTACTTGGGAGGCTGAGGCAAGAGAATCGCTTAAGCCCAAGAATTTGAGGTTGCTGTAAGCTATGATGACATGGCACGCTACCGAGGGCAACAAAATGAGACTCTGTCTCAAAAAAAAAAACAAAAAAAAAAACATGATATATTTTCCTCTCAGAAGTGGTTTGCTGGCTGGGCATGGCAGCTTGTGCCTATAATCGTAACACTCTGAGAGGGCAAGGCGGGTGGATTGCCTGAGCTCACAGGTATAAGACCAACCGGAGCCAGAGTAAGACCTCGTCTCTAAAAATAGCCAGGCATTGTGGTGGGTACCTGTAGTCCCAGCTACTTGGGAGGCTGAGGCAAGACAATATATTATATTATGATAGTATTTTCTTATCTATTTGCTTTTGTCAGTTTC